ACAATCGCTCAGTATTATATTTAAACATTGCATATAGAATACGTCCAAGATTTTCAAATATTTTATTTGATTCTGTCCGTTCCCAAAATTAAATTTCCTTCTCCTCACCTGTATAAAAGTTTTTCCGGTTCTTTTCTCATGCCAGTTTTGCCTTCAGTTTTCCATATCTCTTCCTTAAAACACACTCCTCCACACGATCCGCCATGCCATACTCCCAAGCATTATCCGYATAATAAAAATAAATAATCGTATAATAAAAAATACCATTAAGCATTACGAATCTGAAAAGTTTCAACATGATGTGACTGTCCAMCATGACCATGCAAAATACCTGGGCATGCACCTGGACCGACGACTATCCTGGAGAATTCTATACAGAAAAAAAGACAACATCCTAAGAGTTCGAACAAGAGGCTCAAGAAACTTGCACCATCCGTCATCTGCAGTAGAGTCCAGCCAGAGTAATCAGAATCTCTACCATACTCATCAAATTGTAGACAAACCCAGAGGTCGTTTATTGTAACGCACCCTGTTGCATGTGAATAAAACCAAGCAACACACTTCTTAATGCCAAGATAGTTAATAATAAAAAAATAAGTCTTGGCCAAATTTGGAAAAATCCGCTGTGAACAGTCAAGGTGCAAAAATGCCCAAACAAGAGACAATTAGCCGAAGTTGAAGAGTTCATCTAAAACAAGGGACCAAGTAAACCAAATCACATTTACACAGTTGATTAACTAGATCTCCCCTAATGAAATGATGCGAAGACCACCTTAACATTCCTCTCSTTTGCGGATGATGGAGTTTTTCTAGCGACAACACAGTAGCAGAAAACTTCACACTGAAAYTGASTTCAATCGATATTTGCCGTATGATTAATCCATCAGGAGAGRKTCTTTTAATMTTAACTTACTTTCTCTTCAAAAGGGATCGTTGACAATTAGATTGCTTTTAACTTCAAGAAACATGCAAAAATATTGCAACAGCAAAACACTRGAAAAARCGAGTAGTTTCTAGTGAAAGAATACGACAAAATCCAACCTGAACTTGGACGGTTAGAAAATTGTACAAATCTTGCAAAGAACAGAACACAAATATGAAACTTTGCCATTACGGAAACAGACCCTTTGCTGAGACGAATTTCAGCTCAGCTACACTGTTTATGCCTTCCGGAGCGTCCGGCCGGTCAGTTTCAATTTTGGGTTCCGACGGAATTACCATAAGGCCTAATTGCCAAGTTAGTTCGAAACTAAGTTTCCGACAAGTCGATAATTCATATTCAAG